GAGTATCGACACACAGACAGGCATCTGAGATCGGCTCGATTTGAGAAAGGGGTAAAGATTTAACCAGATTAAAAAAAAACACTGGGTGGATTTTTATCATTATAGGGTGGTTGTGTACACACACTGCCAACACACATTTCAGTTCAAACTACTTGTAATTCCTAAAATGCAGACACCCTACTGGTTGATTCAGTGATCGTGGGCGGTCGTTTTGTCTATGCATCACTGTAGTTCAAACACTTCAGTGTGATCTCAGTCAGCACTTAATAATCTGTCTTAGGTTTAGGCTTTTAGCTTCTTTACAAATGGCTTCTACACTTAAGCTATACAGGTCCTAGATTTTTTGACTCAAAAACATTTGGTAGGAATATGTGCACCGTTGCACCATTATTAGATCTATTCACTCTTAAAGTGACAGAGCTGTGTCATTAGCGTATTCCAACAACAAAATCAGAATCAGAAATCACTGTTAGACCTGCCTGAGCACCGTTTTCATTTCTATATTTGTTCTGTTGTTATTTATTTGTGCCACGGGTTGTAATTTATTTATTTGTTCTTATTTTATTACAGACTTCACCTGTCTTTGATAGCGTCTGATAAAGTTTGAACTATGTATAAATTAAGCTAGTCGTTTTTTTTCTGTATTATTCTATTTGGAATTGGCTCTGGTATCTAAAATATAGGTTGCTTATTTATTAGAATACACTGTTACCTGGGTCAAAACAATGAATCCAAAATAAAAGTTTGTGTTTACATAATGTGTATACTGTGTATATTTATTATGTATAAATAAACACACACATGCATGTATATATTTAAGAAAAATTTTACATTTATATATTAAATATATTAACATATGATATAATTACATGAATATAAATATATACATGTAAATGTTTTCAAAATATACGCTGTGTGTCTATATATATACACACAATAAATATACACAGTACACACACGTATATTTTGTAAACAAAAACTTTTTTGTAAAACAAAAACTCACGATTAATCGTTTGACAGCACAATTGTTTTTTAAAGTACAGTTGTATTACAACATACTATCATTCTGTTCAGACTGCACCGCCTTAATGCTGCGGCAACTTTCCCCCGTGGTATCAAAAATGGTATCAGATATCGATATTTTTTTACAGTATCGAAGTTAGAAATCCCAGTATCGTGACAACACTAAAACACAAATTTTCTGTCCAAACTACTTTTTTAGGGCACTTTTAAGGCAGAATGTGAAAGTGCACGTTCCCATTGATTATGTTACACACATTATCTTGAGAGAATTGTCTGTCACAGAGCAGCTGAAGGCTAACTGTTTGAGCAGAACAGCGCTTGATCACGATCCTGAGTTAGTTTGAGGAGTCTGACCTGTCTGTCTGCAGCTCTTCTCCTGCGGGCTGCAGCTGGTGTCTGCGTGGACGAGGCACGATGTTCCTCCGGGCGAACTGCCGCTCGTGAGGAGTGGGGTCATGCGAGGTCACCATATCCTCAATATCATCCAGCAGAGAGTCACAAGCAGACGGCATGGTCTGAGAAACAGAGTAAAGCTTCATTAATGAGCCGCATCATACAGCACTTCTCAAATCATACATCAGTTTAAACAGACACGTTTATATGTTACAGCAGGGGTTACTGGGGTGCGCAAGGTGGCAGTGAGGGTATGAGAACAAAATCAGATTTACAGTTCTTTTCATAAAACTCAAACTGAGTATGTATTCCTCACAGCCATGCCTGCTCTAGTGCAAAAACAGCTCAATCCAATCAAATTACACATTATTGTGGTTTAAAAGCACTGCCCTAATATGTATTTGATGTTCATGTAAACAGATCAATTACCCACGTGATGATTTCTGTGTAACAGTTCTGATTCCGTGAAACGACACGACTAGACAACACTACACACACTGCACATGCGTCACGAGCACCAGAGCAGAAAACTTCAAAGTGTATCATAATTAGGTGAAAAGAAACAATGTTGCACAGCTCTGCTGAGTGTCACAGGCGCGCGATCCACTTGTTTGCTAAAATTTAGTTGGTGTTGATCTCATCGCACCTGAACAAATCCTCAAAGCTTTATTAATAACTCTATCCATTTTCATTAAATGTGTTTTCGCTGCTGCTCCATACACAAAGCATCCGTAATCTATTGTTGACCTCATTAGAGCCCTATAAATATACATCAGTGATTGTTTATCTGCTCCCCAGTCTTTCCCAACTAATGCTCTCATTAAGTTTATAACTTTCTTACATTTTGATTCCACCTTTTCCGTATGTACTTTCCATGTACCCTTTTGATCTAACCACATACCCAAATATTTAAAACAGTCTACTGTTTCCATATTGTTACCATATAACTTTAAGTTCTGTTTGTCTATCCCTTTCTTCCTGGTAAATAACATGTGACAAGATTTACTTGGAGAAAGCTAAAAGCCCCAATTATATGACCATTTTTCTACTTTTCCTATTGCTTCCTTGATTTTACTTATCACACCTATGGGATCTCGTCCTCTTACCCAAATGGCCCCATCATCTGCATACAAAGCTGAACCAACTCTTCTATCCAAATTCATAAAAATATCATTAATCATTACATTAAATAACACTGGACTTATAACGCTTCCTTGTGGAATTCCATTAACAATTTCAAATTCCTCAGACACTTCTGATCCCACTTTAACTCTAAATCTTCTTTCCGATAAAAAATCTAAAACCCAATTATAGAACCTACCTCTTACTCCAATCTTATTTAGTTTAATTAATAACCCTTCCCTCCACATAGAGTCGTAAGCCTTTTCAATATCAAAGAATACAATATTCATTAATTGTTTCATT